CACAGTCTGTTGACACCATCTTCTCATTATGAGGATTGAATTAATGCCAGAAAGCCAACATCCATCCTCCTGTATCTGCCAGACTTGGGGAGTGGATATACGTGCTGGGTCAGCTGGAAAAAGCAGTGCACAATTTTATCAAGGTCTGAATAACACTGTGGCCTGTGTTGCCTCACAACTGTGATGGTCACTGCAACATTTATGTTTAAGGAAGGGAAAAAAACCAGTAGCTTCAAAAATTTGTCATGCAAGGGTCTGTGATGAGAATAAGTGATGTTGTTCTATAGTGGTTTTCAGTCTTTTTTGTGTTACAGACATCAACCCAGTTCCCTGACTGACATCAGGGAACAGTTCAGGAGTAGGTTTTCTTATTCTCTCCGGTCCTGGTGCTATAACATCATTGTGGAGGTGAGCTGTATCTTGTAAGAAAGGGCAAAAAGACCCTGACAGCAAAACATCCCATGAAACTTGCTGAGGCAATCTGGGTTAACTGGATGGCCTGACCTCTGGATAGAAACTGGCAGATGCTGTGTTACAGAACACTTTATTTTTCACTATACCATGACACTGGGAAGTAGAAAAAATGTTAGGACACTTGGATTACCTCAAGATCATCATCACTGGAGCTACGCTTTTTTCTCTGAATTGGTGCCCCAGAGGCTTGTGTAATTTATGTAGGTTGTCTTCATTATCTCAAAAATATTGTTGCTTAGGCTCAGTTTGGTGTCAGAACCAAGAGTTAAGTTCAAAGTGTCTTAAAGTAGTAAGAGCTGTTGGGTGCAGTTTATGCCTTTTCCTCAGTTGTTTCTTAGCATGTGGTAATTTCGGTGAAGAGTCAAATTCCGACAACGGAACCGAGCATTCCTCCTGCCCAGTGGAGTCAGTGGCCCTGAGCTGCCTGTCAACTGCGGCTGGAGCTGCACAGGCATGAAATGTACCATGATAGGAGACGAGGGATCTCTACTTGAAAAGATTGGTGTTTAGAAGAGTTTGGATGATATTCTGTAAAACTGTTACTCTCACTAATAGCTGCAATTATGCACTGTGCTTTAACATGCTACAGAGTTGCAATTTTCATGCTGGATTAAATATATTTATACTCATCTAATTTTGGGAGGTAAGAATTTTAGAGCGACTAGGACTTGGAGATTGACCATCCTGGGCTAAATTTGCACCCACTGAGAAGCTGAGGTCAAATATTTGAAGAATATTAGAATACAGAAGCAGTAGGAAACACAGCATTCAAACATACTAATATAGTCGAACTAAGCACGAATAAAACACTGCGACAGACAGGAGTAAACCAGCCAATTGCTGAGGATTTTCAGCTTAATCTGACAGTTTCTTCTTACATTTTTTGAGACCAAAAAATTATATTCCCAGTAATTCTTTTTATCAGCACTAGAATGCAGAATCGTAGCAGATTGGCTTTAGGCCATTCCTTCAATTTCAGTGAGAGTTTTGGGTTTTGCTTCTCAATTTCATTGCATTGGATTTTGTTAATTTGCAATCTAATAATTACTGGCAATTGAAAGACATTCAGCAAGCTAACATACGTCACTGATCTGAGAAGATTCTGAAATGCTGAGGTAGAAGAATATCAAAATGTCAACACGCTGCAATTACAAGCAGCTGTGATAAGAGTCAGATATAATGACTTCTGTTCACCTTCAAGGATAAAATTGGCAGGTATATAATTTTGTCTTTAACTCTGCTAAAAGGTGCTTATGTAAGGCTTATTTAGCAGTTTGGTTTTTTTTTCTAATGAAGTGTCAGATCGTATTCTCTCTTTAAGTGCTCATGTTTTTTCCCGTGGAAAAAGCTAGCACTCACACTGCTCACTGGATTACCAGGCATGTCCTATGTAAAACACATACAGTGCTGAGAAGAACGCTGGATTATGGTCAGTACTTCAGATCCAGAAGTACTAACCTAACTAATCAGCAGGAGATCCAGAAAAAGAAACAGGGATGATCATAGTCTACAGAGTTAGATAGAAGATGTAAAGAAAAGGCCTTGTTTAGCCTGGCAAAGGAAAAGGGGAGACACAGCCCTATTTTGACAGCTCACATTCCCTGTTAGAAATTAAACTTCCAACTCTAAGGATCAGTGGTCATTGGAGTGGATTGCTGGGTAGCCTCTATCTTCAGAAGAGTTTAGGACAGCTCAGGCAGTTCTGAAGAATAGATTAAGTACAGCTGTTCTTGTCTTGAGGCTAGGGAACAGATTGTATCACCCCTCGGTGTCCCTTCAGACTCTGCTATCAGTTGTTCTAGTGCAGTTGTCCCAGCCGGAATCACCCAGTCATAACCACGGGTATAATTTTGCAGGTTTTCTCTGCTGACACAATATGAGACTAGATAGTCCCAGCTATTTTTCACTAATATTTCCTTGAAATAGTTGCTTTTTTACATAGCAGTTGATACCCTCTCCAGAACAAAGATTACATCACCTCCTTTACACTCCAAAATCGGTCTGTACGTCTACACCCAACCTTAGTCTTGTGAACAGGGTAAGTATGTAAGCCTGTTCTTCAGATACTCACTGGGTTTGAGTGTCTGTATTTGGAGAGCATTTTAAAAGCTTATTCCTGAGAACACGCATATTCTCTTCCATGCTTTTATGTTAGTGGTTGGGCAGATGGCTTACAGGACAGATGACCTGAAACAAGAATTACACGTCTCCAAGATGGTGATGCCTCCTTGTACACCAGCATTTTTTAAAGTGGGGCTTGGGCACAGTGAATATTCTGTATATTTAATATGGTTTATGGGTAATTACTGTATCATTGTAGATGACCTAGCAATGCAACTGTAAGTGCTTTGTCAATGACACCAGCGAAGAACTCGTCCAAAGTGGAAAAACAACCAATGCAAAAAAAAAAAAAAAAAAATCAAGCCTGAAATGCCTATTCATGGATGTAAGCACCAGTCATGTTGCTCTACAGCTTTACTTCAGCTGGTTTATCCTGCTTATTTCTGTCAAGCATAGCCACGGCACTGAACTCTTTGTTCTAGCTGCTTGTCTAGTCCTATATATATTTTAATAAGCTATTTTCACACTTAAATACATTAGCTTTTCTGAGACTGCTTCTTATTTTACATCTCCTTAGAACTGTTAAGATCTACTGGCAGACTTACTGTAGATTTCTAAATTTCAAAGCTCCAGGATTGTTGTTTGTGTTTTAGCCTTGGAACTTGCTGTCTTCAGAATTCTGGTAGGGATATGAGAATTTGAAGCTTCAAAGCACAGTGTGATTCGCTGCTGCTTCTGTAAGTTCTTATCTGGTTTTCTCTCTTTGTCTCCTTTTTAGGGAGAGGTTTGCATTTTTTTTTTTTTTTTTTTTAGTTTGGCTTACCCTTTTCTGTCCAAACACATTGCTGCTGTATTAGTGGCAGCATGCACTTTTTTAAAGACAATGTAAACAGATAAATATAATAACATTTTTGCTGAAAAGCCAATGTCGCCATAATGCGCTATCTATTTAGCAAATAATTGTTTTGGTAAGTGTTAGAAAGGCCAAAATTACAGTACAACCTAATTCTGCATGTTAGTTGTTGCATACATGAAAGTTTCTGTGAAACCTCAAGGAAATTCTTCCCAGAGGAATTTTTCTGCATAATGGACAAATGAATGAAAGAGTAGAGAAGAACAATCTCTCTTTGGGGTAAAAAGAGAGGCAGTTTGTGCTGCAATGTTAATAAAAAAATACAAAACCTGTCTACTTCTACAAAGAACTGGCCTGCTTAGACACCTACTTTTCTCTCAGTACACTACTGTGTATTTTCTTCACTATAAAAAATAACTCGAGTCTTCTTCATAGTGCTCATACTGCACAGACTGGAAATTATGTTTTTCAGGCTTTTAGGAAGCAACATCAACCGAAAGAAAATTTGCCACTTCATCTCTATCCTAACCCAAATCCACACACAAATCTTCAAGTTAAAGATCAAGCTTGAGCTAGCTTACCGGGCAGAAATAGGTTGTTTGACACTAAAGCTACAAACACTGTAGAGACGAGTTATCTACCAATTACAACAGCTTATCAACCGCTAATCCAATTAGTCTGCATGGCTTCACTGTTGCGTGGCTCTCTTCGTCCTCTCAGGCTCAAGGTAGGCAGTAATTCACATACACTGATATAGCTAACACTTGCAGGAAAGACAGGATCTAAACATTCTTCTAGAGGAGGATACGTAAATCACTAAATATCCCAAGAGTAATTTAGATGCTGTGATCACTGGTGCAGGCAGTATGTAATCACATTTTATTGACAACTCCTAAAGATCAGTCTTCCTTTGAAACTGCCTGGAGTGAAACTGAATAGAGCGTGGCTAGAGAGCCCAACAGAGTGTACAGGGATGGGACCTGAGCTGGCACCAAATGAGCCGCTTTGGGTAGGGGAAGCGCTAAAAGCCTCTTAGCATAGTGCTGGGCACTGGCCTGCATCCACTGCTGTGAATTTACACTATACCTTAGAGACAACCGTTTGTAGAGAGTGTGGCAGGTTGCTTACACAGAGCCACGACCCTTAGCACATCTAAGAACTTCTGGTAGTATGTTTTTTGGAATAAAAAGGCAAAAGCTGTGTAAGTGATCTTGTAGTAGAAAACTTGCAAATAGTTACTGTTTAAATAAATATTGGACCTTAAGCATTTTTTTAAATTCATATTGATCACTTCAGTAATCTCACCAATTAATTTTTTAAAATGCTGTGCTTCCTTGGACACAGGTTTGGGAAGCTACATTTCATCTCAGAGTATGTTATCACAGCTTTATAAACACCTGAATGCAATATTGGAAAAACACTGACAAGAATCTTAGACAGGCTGCTAGTAGGTACCACCCAACAACCCACAAAGCAATTCCACTTACCACAATAATTGGGCTCCTAAATGTAAATAAATGGGCTAAAATGGATGTAAAGTCTTCAAATATGTTATTAGATGTGTGGTTTGTTTATTGGTATCAATAATCATGTCATATTTTCTTTCTTGCAGGAGGTGAAGTCACCAAGCCCAGATTTGCTCAGTATTTCCATGGCAGCCTGGCCAGTCTTACTATCCGGCCAGGCAAAATTGAGAGTCAGAAAGTGATTTCCTGTTTGCAGGCCTGCAAGGAAGGTCTGGATATTAATTCTCTTGAGAGTCTTGGCCAAGGAATAAAGGTGAGGGATGAACTGACATAATCTTTGATAAAAATTTAGAGCTGATTTATGAAGTGGAGAGCCCAAGGTAGAGTACACACAGTACAAATGTACTCCCAGAAGCAATGTAATTTCCCATAAAGTCATGCAAAGAAAAAGCAGAATGGTAGAAGAGCTGTGACACTGCAAAGAAAAATGTTTCCATTATTGCAACGCTAGATGCTCAGAAAGTAAGGCATTGCTGATATTTCAGAGTCCATAGGAATTGCCAGGTCATGTTCTCATGCTTGTTTTTGTAGTTTTACAGAAATAGACACGATTCCAAAGAATTATGGGATTCTGATTGCAGGTAGCTTTAAAGCAATGGAAAACATAACTGGAATATCTTTCATCTAGAGGCAACTCTGAAAGAAGTCCCAATGCAGTAGTACTGACAAATTTCAAGTGTGTTCTGAGAGGAAAATATTATGGGACATGAGAATTGGACACAAAAAAAAAAAAACTGAAGTCAAGAAATTAAAATTTTACATTTGCATATAAATCATTATCTTCATTATGCAAACGACTATCTTTACTGATATTGTCACGCTTTTTCTAAGATTGAAGAACAACAGACAGAGGGAAATCCTCTTTAAATTGATATAGTGGCCAGATTGCTTTGCATTCATTAGGACAAATTCTGTTCTTTTGGATACATATGTAGGATTTTGACTACAACTTCTACAGTACCTACATGAGAGGCACTTTGCATTTCCCTTTACTGATACCATTAGTAGATAATGGGTGTTGTTCTGCTTAGTGTGTAAACACGCTGTTAAGCTCCTTCCTAGAACACAAATGACAGTACCATCTTCCAAAGGAGCTGAGCTTCAAATTCAAACTGGGAAGATACTTTGGCTGCAGACTGTGCATCCTGTGAAACTGCACAGGTGGTTTTTTTAGTGTGTTGTTTTTCAGTGGGGAGGAGGATGGTGCTGTAACACTTGATCTACAGCACGCAGTGAAAGTGCCATGTGCTACATTTTATTAGCTAAACCTTTTGATTCTGCAAGATAGGAGACTGACCTGTAATACACTCAAATGTCTGTGTAGGTGATAAGTTGCTGTGGTATAGTATAACCGATATGTTTTGTGAAAACAAGGGTAAAAATGAAAATTGGAAGTGCAAAGGTAAGGAGGAATTTTGCTAACTCTAGGTTTTACATATGAGCAAAATACCCTAAAGAAATATTTTTTTTTTCTTCACCTTACCAAGGACATTGTTAAGAATTTCACATTGCTGCTTCTCCCAGCAAAATGACACACTAATAAGTAAAAGCTATTTTTAAAAGACAGTGCATACAAAAGAGCAGATAGGGTGTTCTGGAAGGCAAGTGTATATGTCTACCAGTAAGTTTTTTGCTGGGATTTTACATTAATTAAAGCAGTACACACTAGGTCCATGGTGCTTAAAAGCATAGTAATTCCTCCCCTATTGTCACACTCTAAGACTTGACAATATTTGAGTAGTCTTGTTTCATGGGCTTGGAAAAAGCCCTGTTATACCACCCATTGCTGCTCCAGTGCGGGTGATTGGCTTCCTTGCAGTGGGAAAATGAAGTGCAGTGGGGAAAATTAAGATGAGGGATTGTTTTCTGCCTTTTCTCTCTTTCACCAAACTTCAAAACATTTTCATTTGCCAAATACAGATGAGGCATAGTGTTTTATTTAAAGTTATTGTTTTCATTTTTACTACCTCAGCAAGCTTAACAGTCAATGCAACAGCAGGGGGCAAAAATGCAAGGAGCAGTCAGAGATAGATTGTGGTAGGGTGTCTTATTGGGGCTGACAGAAAGAAGCTCGTATGAAAGCGGAACAGTTGGCACCTGACCTTAAACAGAAGATTAATAAAGAGAAAGGGTTTCTGGTGTCAAAAATAAACATACCTGATCTTAGACAAGCATGTGGAACAGCTGCACAGATGATAGGTTCTGTGTGGCTATTTATATGGCACTTAGCAGAGTCAATGTTGGCAAACTGATGGTGGAAGGTGTTTCTGCTGGGCACTGGACTCATGAAGCTTCACCCTTTAGCCACCTAAGAAAGAGCAATGCAGCTGTTACACAGTTTGTGACACTCGTGTTGGGCTGGTTTTGTCTGCAGCCTAATTTTCAGATATCTGTAACAGCTCTCAGAAACACTGACTGTCTAAACTGTTGCTATTTTTAGCCTTTTTTAATGAGAAAGACAAAAATGGCTCAGGCTAGGCCTTTCCCCAGTCCCTTTGGCAGCATTCCAGCTGTTCTGGCAGCTGAGCTATTAAGTTAACTGGCTAGCTAGAGTCTCCTTTTGCTAATTTTATTACCTATTACTGCTAGCTTACACAAAGGAAAAAGAAGTTTATGCAGGCTGTGACTCATGTTAGTCCTCCTCTTTGTTAAAAAATACCCTCTGGTTTATTTTGACCTTCCTGCACAAGCCTTAAACCCAGTCCTCTGTGTTCTGTTTGACAGAGAACCCTGTGCTTTACTCTGTTCTTCACAGTCTATTTGCTCTTTTGCTTTTTAACCTTTCTCGTTGTAAGGAAGTGTAGACAACCATTGTCTGTATATAATCGAAGATGTTCATATAGTCAATATGCAGCTTTGGGAGGGGACTGCATGTGAGAGAAGGATGCATTTCTTTGTGGTTTGTGCTGACAACAGTAGGGTAAAAAATGAAGGGGATTAATCTGGTTTTCTCTGCAATGTAGATAGTTTGCTGAACCAATTTACAGACAAAAAAATGGAATCAGGATGGATTATCATGAAGATAAAATTGATCATTTGTTATGTGAATATAGTAGCAAAGTTTCTTGGTCAGCAAGACTGTTTCATGTTCAGTGCAATGGACTAGAGAAGGATCAGGTCTACAAGAATAGCCACTGACTTTGCAAGGTTTGTTGGCTCAAATGAGCAGCTGGCTTTGTGCATGTAGCAGCTCCATCTTAAATCATGACACTCTTATTGATCATGAGACAGAGAAAGGAGAATCCCCTTTACTGTGTCTGACGTTAATGAAGATGTAGGAGGCAAATGTTACAATTATTTTGTTCATTCACGTTGAAATATATCTCAGAAAGATAGCCCAGGGTAAAACCAAACGGAAAGCAGAAAGAATATGCTCCTGCATGCTACTCTGGTTTAAGACAATATTTTTATATGGAGGATGTGTTTAGCCTAAAAGAATTACATGGTAATAATAATGATGACAGTAAGTTAAAGTTTTGAAATAGTATCAGCAGTGTTGAGAAGGTTGAGCAAAGTACAGCAATTCGGGATTGGTTTACTATAATATTAATTACAAAAGTTTTTATTCAGATACGAAATAGATGACTGATACAAGTATGTGTTTTAGGGATCAACGTGGATTCAGACAACGATAGCTAATAATTTTGTTTTCTTAAATCATTAGATTTTAACCTTACATCTGTACAACAATCCTTAAAAATGTCTTATATTCTGTACCTGGTACCTTAAAGACTAATTACATGCATTTCCCCTAGTATCACTTCAACCCTTCCCAGTCAGTCCTTGTCATGGAAGGAGATGACATTGAGAATATAAATCAAGCCCTCCGAAAGGTCTCATACATCAACTCAAGACAGTTTCCTACTGCGGGCGTACGACGTCTCAAAGTCTCATCTAAAGTCCAGTAAGTTATACTTCAGCTGAACTGATTAGAGTAGGAATATTTTTAACAAACTACTTACTTCTTTAGACACGTAAAAAGATTTTTGGCTAAATCACATCGCTAAATCATACTTTTATGTTATTGAGCATAAAGGATGAATTTCATTTACTTTTATGCTGATTTACATTGTGGTTTTCTTTTGATATTGTCCTTTTAAGAAACTTTTCTTGTTAATGTAATTTGCTTGTATTCTGTTTATGCTTTGGAGCATATAGTCTGGACTGAACACTACTTGCATTTATTACATTCTTATTTTATTGTTCATTTTAAGAAGTTATAGTTTCTTCTGAGATAGCTAGAGCCATGACTTTTTAAAGCAGGCCTATTACATCTTACAGATGACATAGCTGCAAGAACAGTAGTTGTAGCTATGCTTGAAATAGTCTTTGTCTGTCTGTATCCTTATATGGCTGCCATCGCTGAAGTATTGGTGTTGGGTGTTAAACAGAAATCCGTGTCCTTCCATTTTCATGCAACAATAGTGACACTGGAAGCAGTCCAGTTTGCACGCTCCAAGGCTGGCCCAAGCCTTGTGCCAAGATGAAGTAAGGTGGAGTTTGTCAGGAGATTCACTTCCAAAGCACAGTGCTGATTCATATGAAAATGCTAATATAGGCCCCTTTTGTCCCCAGTAAATACTGGTGGGTGCCAGAATGAGTTCATGATGAGTCCAATGTAAATGGATAAATAGGCCTTTTTATTCACACATGACAAGTTAACCATATTATATTCATTAGATATCCCTTCGAGAATCTAATGTTAGGAAGACTATAATTAGCTGTTATCATCTAATTAACTGTAATTTTCTTAACCATTCACTACTTTGGTAAATGTCAGTTAAACATCAAAATATTATTCTCATAGTGACCTTACAAAAGACTGAGCTTGTCATGAATCTGTTTGCTAAGCTGTTCCTACATAATTTCAGTGTGGATAGTTGTGGATGTGGGAGGGGATGGGAGAAACAGAGCTGTAACTGTCACCTCTGGCCTGTGTGCATGGTGGTACAGATGCATGTCCTTGTGTGTGGCAGTGTCCAAGTCTGGAATAGATTGATCTGAGACAGTACAAAAGGATGAGAGCCATCAGGTGGGTTTTGGGCAGCGCAAGCGCCACGCACCTCTGATGTGCAATGTGTTACATGCAGTTAATGAATAATATCTTTTTCAGATGTTTTGGTGAAGATGTCTGCATTAGTATCCCAGATATAGAAGCGTATGTAATGGTGTTTCAGGCCAATGAGCCCAAGATTACAATAAGTGGGATGGACCATTTTGCTAGACCAGCTGCACAATTTGAAAGTGAAAGAGGTGTTAATTTGTTACCTGACATCAGGATTGTCAGCACAGTCACAAAAATGGAGCATCCAGTGGTCTTAAAAGAACACGACAGAGGTTTGTGAATTTCTTTTAAATAGTATTACTTACTCTATAACATGACCCCTCACATATGTTTAAAGTGAATTGAATTAAACACATTGAAAAATGTGTTAGATAGTGATAGGTCAGTATGCGCTTCAAAAAAAAGCAGCTTTTCTATTTAGTGTCTTGCCTACTTCAGAAAAATTCCTTTCCACTCTTCTGTACATATTCTGTTCAATAACATGTTCTCATGAGAAACTCTCCATTTGTAACAGAATTCTGTTAATTGTACTGATAAAGTAGAAAGCAGTAACTGACTAATAGTTGGAGTTTTAATCTGATCTTACATTTCCAGCTCTGCTACTGACTTGTTGGTGATACCTGAGAAAAAGTAGTCTTGTCCCTCAATTTCACACCTATACAATGTAAATATAATAATTTGCAAAGATTTTTCTCCATGATGACAGTTTATGCTAATGCTGAGCAATGTGTGTGTTATTATTTGACACTACTTGAATGTTCAAAAATATAAATAAGGTTTAAAATAATTGTCTATAAAGGAATCTTCCTTTTGGATGTTTGTGTGCAAGACAAATGATAAGCCTAGTAATCTGAGGAATCATTCTAAACAATATTTGTTGGACTAGAATAAGCAGCAACTAGATGTACATCTCTTGAAAAGTTAAAATCGCGAATGGCGTGCAAGTGTAGGGGCCTGGATTCCCTGAAGCCATGCTCTGTAATAAGGCAGCTTATAGCTTTGCCTGAAACTGCCTGAAAGTGTAGCGTATCATAATATCAACTGCATACATTCTTGCATAGAAAAGAGTGATCATTATGCATCATTTAAGACACAAAGCATGTATGGTCCTCCATGTCCCTAAATGTTATGACATGTTCAAAACTGTTTAGTGAATTAGGAACTACTGCCCTCCAGTTTAGTTCATAAATTTCATCTATCCCCATTTTTCCCAGTACAGTTAATGACATACCTACTGTTGTAACACCTTGTAACCTAAAAACCCTGAGTTTCACCTTGCAAAGGAACATAGCACCATTTCTTAAACTACTGTTTAATTCCTTGAAAGTTGGGCGCCTCCTAATGTGCCATCTCTTGCTTACTCCCACCAAGAGGCAGCAGCCTGGCCATGGCTCTGCGCCTTACTTACTTGCAGAGGGCCCCCGGAGGGCCAGTGTGTTGCTGTTTGTCCTGCTCTGTAAAGAAATCAGTGGGACCCTGCCGACTGCTAAGTTGCTGGCCCTACCTCTCCTGTCTGCCCACTGACAGCCAGAGCAGCAGAGCTGACCCTCGCGCTGCAGCCCAGCTTTTGCCTGTCTGTCACAGCTTCCCATGAAATAGTCCAACTCATCAGCCTTAGCAATATTCAGATTTGTCTCTCCTGCGAATCTGGTTAAGCAGTCTTGCCAGACACTCCGTGCTAAGTTGACCAGAGAATTAAAATATTAAAGGGAGCGGCTACTCTTTTTCCAGCGACAGAATTATACTTTTTAATCGTACATACTGAAGTATAGTTAGTTTACAACTCAATTTCTCCAAGTCACACAACACAGGATCTTGCCATTTACAATACCATGTTCTTGGGTAAACAGCCATGGTCCTTGTAATGCAAATTCTTTATGGGCTGTAGGGTAACTGAGAGAATCATCCAAGAATAGATATATTTGACATGTATTTTTCCAGTTTGGTTTTCCCTGAGAAAAGAATGAATGTGTGATATCAAACTGGTATCAGTACAGTATTGAAAACCAGAATTGTTTACATGGATTTATTTCCAGGACCAAATTTCAGTTTTCTACTTCCAGTACTGTTCTTGAATGCTTTTTATTACAGAGTAATATATTTTTCATCTATTTCACTAGGTATTTGTAGGCCGCCATCATCATAGCACCTCAACAGGCAAGACAGACACTTCTCTTTTGATTTGCTTCAAGTATGCTGTATTTAATATCAGCAAAAAAACAATTCAGCCATATTTGCAAAAATTGAAAGACCTGATGCAAAACACATAAAGAGACTGAGCTGTTCTGTGATCATTTATCTTAGTTTCTTTTTTCTTTTTTTCATGGTATATGCCATGTGTTCACAGCCAATAAAGCAGTGGTATTAGAGGAAATGCTCCACAACTTGGATTTCTGTGATATTTTGGTCATCGGTGCAGAACTAGATCCTGAACAAGAGTGTTTAGAACTAGACCGTGTAGAGCTTCAAGGAAAACATCTAGATGCTACAAATTCCACAGCAGGATATTCGATTTATGGTAAGTTCAAGAACTTTGCTTTCCCTTATTTCTTCCCATCAGCAATTAAATTATTGGAATGAAAGCACTAATGTGAAAGAAAGTAGGCAGAAATCTGTGCTGTACTAGCTATAAGATATTTCAGGAGACTGTGTCTCAAAAAAACCCGGTCACTTCTTGATCTCTGGGTGTAGTGTGTTTATGCTTTGGAATACAGCACAGCTTTGTCTTGATATCAGCATCCCTCCTGCTACTCCCCGAATAAGGACAATAACAACACTGCTTGCTTAAAGTGGGCGGGTTCTTGTGGACCATCACAGTGGAACGTGGGAATAAGGTGTCTCCTCAGTGTGCCTGTGCAGTGGTGGTAACTCACTGGCCAGGATTTTTTGATTACCAAATAATTACGTCTAAGTCTTTGCTGTTGTATTTGTTCCTCTCATTATGGACCTAGACTCATTTCCAAAAAATATTCTCACATAATTTAGTATCAGCCAAAGGCTCTATTGGGGAATATTCAATGCACTGTGATTTTCAAATCATTCTGCCAAATTTTGTGTTTTCTGTGAACATTTGATTTCTCCTCTACTGTACAGAGCATTTTTTACATAGCATCTCCTTAAGATTACTACTGCTCTACCACCATTTCAGGTGTGGACAGCATGCACAACTACGAACAGGTTCTTCGGCAGATTCGATATCGTAACTGGTTCACTTCTGCCGCCTTTGACAGAAAGTTCAGAGTCAAGTGCTCAGAGCTAAATGGACGGTACTCTAGCAATGAATTTAACTTGGAGGTAAGCAGTCATTTAGTAAAGTTTTCTCTTCCAGCACTGACACTGAGCACTAGCCTTTTCTTTAAAGAGTTTTCTTTAAAATATGTAAAATGATTGACACATTCTGGTAACTATAATCGAATAGAGGAAAAATTCTAAGTTCCACTCAAATAGGAAGTTGACTTCTCCTGTGGGCATTCCTCAATGTGGGGTCTGTATTCTGCTGCGTATGTAAGAAGACCCTTCTCTTGACCTCTGTTAATGCAGAGAATTGCTCCTGTTCAAGTGGAATGGAGGCTAAGGTCATCATCATTTTTCCATGATGTAAAATCTCCTACAGGTGTTTTTAAAGATCTGTATGCCTTCTTGAAATTAAATCATTACGGCCTCATTATTTTCCTTAGATTAGTTATTTATTTTACTTAACCTAACATACTTTTCTTTCCTGCAGCATTCATTTTTTCAGTTTTTCCAAGCACTACCCCCTTACAACAAGTTTTATAATTTGTTCTTCATTGGATGGAGATCATTCCTGATAATTTATAGGATTTCAGATTTCTCTGGGGAGGAAAGTCAGTATACAGGTAATAAGTATATAGGGTGGACTTAATCTGTCATATTCTCTTGGATCCACTGCCCAGACATGGTCAGTTGCCACAGAAATATTTAGGTAGCGCTCTTGAGATTATGTGTCCTGGTACTAAGTCCAGTGCAGCACAATGGCTCAGGGACTTAGAATTACTGCTGCTGCACCTCAGCAGGAATCATGGACCTATTCTGAAGAACCAATTTATCCAGACTAGAACCCAGGCACCAAGTAACTACAGGAAAGGGTAGGACCTTCTTTAGCAATAGGCTCAAAACTTAAAAATTAGGTCTGAAAGTTTTTACATGCTTACGTTGTATTGAAAAATCTTTTCACCTTAGCATTCTGCAGCCTTGACAATGACGTCAGGGTTTCTGCTTATAACATAACTATTAGTAGGACAGAGAACTGATATGGTATCTTCAAAGAAAGTCACACTGAAAGTAAGGACGCAGAAAAAAATGAAACCTCTTTTAACTCTCTCTTACCGTTTTGGTTTTAAACTCACCAAGTTTGATACATTCTCTATCAGTGTTCAGAGTGACAAATCTCCCACTAACTTTCAGGGAACATCTAAAATCTGATTAGTAAAGAGGAAAAAAGTCACCACTCATCCAGACAGGCAAATCAAAAAAGTCCTTTTCTGCGCCACTTCATAGTCTACAGCTAGAAATGTTAGAATGCATTTTTAATGCTAGAAATTAGAGATATATTAACCTGTGCATTTTTCAATGGCATAAAAAAAGTGAATTTATCCTTTAAGATCTTTATAATAATGTTCCTGTCTGCTGATTAACTTCATAGTTCAACGTAACGTTTGGAGCCAGCAGGCTTGGAATATAAAGCACTTTTTAGTACCTGATCTCTTATTTTTCTCTTGTGCCAGGTTAATATTCTACATAGCTCCAACTCCAACTTCATGGACCATGTAAATCATATGATAGTACAACCACAATTTTTCCAATCCGTCCACCACCCAGAGGGAAGCATAAGTGCTGTTCACAACTCAGGTACGTGACAACTTTATGGAGGCTGCTCATAATGATTCTGGTATGTTGGCATTTCCCTTGTGATTCAGCCTGGTCAACAGATAAAGCCCCACTGTCCATAGTTACAGCTCATGAAACCTCACAGAGATCATTGCACAGGTATGAGAGAAGGTAACAGTGAATTCTCTTCTTTTTGAGGAGGAGGTACTTTGTAGTTAAAAACTGGTATCCTTTTTTAGTCTTCATTAAAGATCTCGTACTCTGACCCATCAAGAAAATGTCTTGTTTCTAGTATTGAGTGGTATGAAGGATAATATTTATGCTCATATTATCTATGTCTGTATTTCTATGGTATAATAATTTCTGCCCACCCCTTTCTAAGCACAAAAAAGAAATATTTGTATTCTTTTTTTAAATATATAATTGCTGCAGTGCTTCTGTTAGCTGCTGTCCAGGACTCAGTCTGGAGCTTTCTGGAGAGAAGATGGGTCCACCTAGCCATTTGCAGGGGGCATTAGTATATACTCAACAGAGAATTTAAGTTGAATTTTTAGACTATATGAGTTAAAATATATACTCAAATCTGAAGCCTTTTCAATTATGTTAAACCCAGGGCAAAGATATCTGTTTAAATGCTGGATTCTGAAATCCTTTCAGCTGAATAATACATATGTAAAGGTATAGCTGATGTCAAAGTGTACGTAGTTGTACTACACGTAGAAAATTACTGTATTTGTCTGTACACTTACACAGACATTGTACTAAAACGAAACTGAATTTTTACAAAATGAACTATTGCAAACTAGTTCTTTTTTCTTTAATATTGTTCAGATTTCAGAGTTCCATTCTTACAGGCAGGGCAAGGTGATAAAATGGGGTAGAGAACGACTGTAGCTCCTGGAACTGCAGTACCTAGGTAGCAAAGGTACATAGAAATTGGAAGCCCTTCTCCACTAACCTAATTATGGAGCTGATAATATGAGAGTAGTTCGCAGAGATTTCTTCCTGAGACCAAATGGAGACAGAGGCTTCTTAGGGCTCAACAGAACAGCGAGGAAAAATGTCTTGAATCCTCAAGTGTCTCCCAGGAAGGTTGTAATGCAGGCAAATAGAGTGGCAATGTGTTGTTTTATTTCCTGGAAGATCGATACTTAAATCATACTACAAGTATTTGAAACCTTTGAAAATATAAGCTTTGAGATATACTTTTTCTCACAAGAGAGGTTAACGCCTCAGTTGTAATCATGAGGGGACAACATGCAGGAAAGGTAACTGAACCTTGTTGAAATAAACACTTGTTCTCAAACTAATTGATTCTGCACTGATTGGCTACTTGTCTTCTGTAATAAAGTGGTTGAAAGAAGAAATGGTAGGCATACTCACTTTTTAGTCATGATTGATAATACTCATTATAAGATATTTGTAACCCCATTCGTGTATGCTCTGCCTTCGTAGGTGGGCACTTGTCAACACTTTCTGTAGTCACGGGCTCATGGCAGATGGCGGTGATGATTCTCAGTCCAAAGGAAGAGGTGTTCTGAGAGAAAAAATAGACAATGTATTTAGTGTTTTGTAGGCAATTTGTTCCACAAATATAAGCCCATTCCCTTTTTCATCTTTTGTTCCAGTTGTTCCAAGCGTGGCTACTATCGTTATCATAATCTGTGTGAGCATACTCATTTTTGTCATAACCTTGGGGGTCTACCGAATTCGGACAGCTCATCAGCACAGCTCTGCAGACAGCGAAGGAAGTAAAGAAAATGAAATGGATTGGGATGATTCTGCTCTGACTATTACTGTCAACCCCATGGAGGTACATAACTGAGGCATAGTATATATCATGATACTATCACGAGTTACTGTCTGGGTTGGTAGCTTTCTCAACAGTGAGTCTGAAGCCTCTTTCAGAGTACACTTATTTAGGCTTGGCAGAACAGTTGTAAGTAAGTACACTCGGGACCTCATCTCAGTTTTCAGCACTTCGCACCGTGATAATATATAGTTGAACAGTTAATATTTGTTGTCATACATAATTACTAGACAGGATGGCGAAGGATTCTTGCGTACAACACCACTTCATCTCCATCCATATATGCACCCTAGGTACTCAAGATGATATAGTTACTTCGGTTTTAACTTTTTAACATAAGCACTAAACATTCAAAAGAGGGGAAATGATCAGCAGTTTAAAGGAACCGACATTGAAGGGCTACATTTTGGCAGCTTGACTAATAAATATATTGCTTATGAACATTCCATTCTTGTTACAGTAGTTTCTGAATATTTGCTACTGAATGGTATCATATTTGATGCCTAACAGTCACATAATGATGGAAAGCAGATTTCCCCAGCATGTTAGCATTTCTGAATATGGAATAAATGCTCGCGTTCTCACAGCCACTGGCTAGCAAGAAGGCACTTTTCTTCTACTGTCTCTCTTTCATTTCTTTAAATGTACTGTAGAAATATGAAAAGCCTCACCAGACAGAAGAGGAGAGTGAGGAAGAAGACATAGAAGATGAAGAGGAAGACACAACCAGTGCTGAATCAGATGAAAGTGAAGAAGAGGAGGAGGAGGAGGAAGAGGAAGTGATTGTCCAAAAGGGAGACAAACAGAATGCTACCAGGCAAGAGCAGTTGGAGTGGGATGATTCAACACTCCCGTACTAACAGCCCTCCAGCAACATTGCTCTTTTGTAACAACCAATACAATGTTTTTTCAGAGTCTATGAATTTACTGACAGGATTTGAACTTCTGCTTGCCTATAACTGTTTTGCCTAAAATGATCTTGTTGTAGTAATTGATAATGATAGAAATGACCCTTTCCTTACAAAGCCCAGAGAAAACATGGTACAAACATACCGGCATCACCAGTAGTAAAGTAATCTAGACCTTGATCTGTTAGCAAGCCTAGTTCTCTATTTCCTGTTTCTATAGAACAGTCCTGTCACTCAATCCATAGAGGTTTTTGCCTTTGCTGTTTTTTTCATACGAGAGAGATTTCAGCTTGTTACGAAGAATTACTTGTGTGGGTCCATATAACAGTTGTCATTTGACTTCACACTCTTACAGGTGTAAAATATAATCCACCTTCAAATTGGGGCAAAGTTTTAGTGCTACAGGTGACAGAGACTGAATTCCATTTGTCATCTTGTCCTGCCTTCTTGAATGTTAACTGTCTGTCTTCTACAAGGGAATATCTAGGACTTGACACGGGATGCATGTGTAAAGTGTTCGGTATATTTTCAGGCATACTGTCAGAACCCTCAAGACAGGGATTTTATCCAACCTGCCCAAAGAAACTTAAGAGAGTTTAAAAAAACAGCAACAAGGAGCTGCTGGAGGTTACAAAAAAAACCCAAATCATTCTGTGTCCACAGGTTGAGTAATATGATCTTATGCAAACTGTAAATTCTAATAGAATTGATTTACTGAAAACCTGTAGAGCTGCTCATTAGTTATGGATTGAGCAATTTCCAGCAAATCGATGCTTTGAACCGTCTGTCTTGTAAAATCATTAGCTTGCCGCAGTATCTTACAGAGGTAGTGGAAAATAAGTGACCCTATTATTCCATAGCTATGTCTGGTTGGGATTTAAACAATGATTTTACATGAGGAAAATGTTCCCTTTTGGTTTAGTGAATGCCAGCTGGAATTCCTGTCTGACTGTATTCTATAAAACATTATGCTCCTTATCTTCTGTACCCTTACGCACCTATGAGTGGCACAACTGTCAGCTCTCTTGTGCTCGTAATTCTCCTTTATTTCTTCTTCCTGAAGCCATTAATGTTGAGAGAAAAGGTTTTATAAAGTAGAACAAGAGCAAATAAAACCTACCTGGAACCAAAAGAAGTGAAAACAGAAACTAAACTGTTAAGATGCTGAGAGAGTATTTTAGTTTGTTATGGTAACACAGCATATTTTTCTTAAACACTGTTTAAAAGGGAGGGGGGCGGGGGGAGATAAGTGAAAAAAAAAAAAAATGCAAAGCTACGTACAATGTGTTGATAAGTCTGTGTGGTGTGGTTTTTGTCCCTTTCCTTAATTATCTTTGCATCTTCAAATGCTCTGCATACCAAATGATGCAACACTTGCTAGGATAACTAACTAACTGCTCTACTGTGTAAAAAACAAAATGGCATGGAAGTGAATGCTGCCCAGTGGCTTGTCTGGTTTTTTTTTTTGATAAGTACTTCCTTTTCTTTACAATTTCATCATCAATTTTTGCTTTTGTAATTTGCTGTTTAAAATGAGCTGCTTCCTATTCTTCCGTCTCCCAGAGAAGCAAACAGTCTTGCCCCAACAGAACCTTCCTGAGCACCCATGCATGAATGGTAGTAGATATTGCAAAGGGTAACTTAAGCAACCTCAAGGGCATCCACCTGCCTCAAGACTAAGGTAGCAGCAGCTCCTGAACAACTTATTGTGGGTTTGGGGGTTCTTTTAATTCCAGTTTCTGCATCTGATAGTTGCAGAGAAAGATTGACAGCAACATAACTAGAAAGTAAATGAAAAAGAACGCTAATTTAATTTTAAAAGTAGAAATCTTCATGCTCTTTTTTGTTGATTTTTAAGACTGGCAATATAGATGTTTTCTTACATGGGCAGTCCTGGTTTATTATTTTTCTGGTCTCTCACATGTATTAAACTTACAAGAATATTTGCAGAATCAAGCCCACAGAAATACAATTCATCTCCAGTAATAAAGATTGTAAAGCTGGCCAAAATCTAAAATTTCTGAATTATGTTGAACAGAAATTTTATGTTAGATCATTTCCTAGCATCCTGGTATCCTAAATCATTTCCTAGCATTAATTTTTGTTAGTAACATGAAGCAGGCTCTTCATGATGCTTGTTATCAGCACATATCAGCAAAGCTTTCCGTTCAGAAAAAAAAAAAAAAAAATTGCAATTAAAAGTATATGTTGGAAAGTCTATTTCAGGTTTAAAACTGGACTTAAATTATATTTAAAGTTTCTGTTATTCCTGATTATTATTGTTATCACACCAAACATTAGGACAACTTGAAAACAGCAATTTACAACCTTACTGACAGCCTTCAATTTATTTATATGTTCATGTCTTCATCAGTGTGTTTCTCCATCTAATAGATTTTTATCTTTTTGTTACTAGAAGCAAATCTTTTTGGATCATGCTGGTACATTACACAAGAAGCAAACAAACTAACTATTTTCTCTACTGTAAATAAACCTACATTTTTAAACCTAAGGAAATAATACAGGCATGTGTGTTATCACTAAGATTTGGTTTGCAACGAGATATTCAGCAAACTAAATGTATTACTGCACTTATTTCGCATTACTCATTGGAGTGCATTATGCAGCATTTTTCATTCAAATAAACAGAAAAATTCTTTTCACAAAATGGTAGTGAGAATGAGATACTTCTTCACAAAATGAACCTTAGAATTAGCATATTTGTATAGAAGTTGACAGCAATGGCTTCATGAGCAAAAGCCTACTAGTAGAATAACATAGAAAAATCACTTTTTCTGAAATAATTTTAATGATATTTCCTCCCCTCCATTAATTATTTTCTAATGTAAACTACTTGCTTAAAACCAAACCAGAACACATACATATATATACATACATACACCTTTTTTTTTTTAACCTAATCAAAAGCCCAAAACCCTCTCATTTCCTCTCTGAAAAAAGTGTTTATGCTGCCAACTCTGAAATGGCAACCGCAGTGTCTGGCTCTTTAAGATGTAATGTTTATCCTTGGTGCAGTTGCAAGGTCGAGCTATGAAGACACAAATAAAGGTGCTTTTTTATAGCAGCAATAAAAAGAGCATCCAAAAATACATCTCTGAAGAGGAAGCCATAATACCTGACATCAAGAATCTGTGATGCCAGAGGTCTAAAATGACATCACATCAACAAATGCCTTTAAATTTTTGAAGTTTTAATCTAAGGCTGGGAAAAGCTGCAAAACCTACAAATGCTAATTCAGGATGTCAATACACTGTTACCTGAACTAATGTAATTGCCTAAGTTGTTGCTTTTTGCGATCAAGACATTTCTTTTGCACTTCTACCTCCTCCACAGGTATTTTATCTTTGCAAGTAAACCTTAAAATGCATGGTTTGTCCCTGGCCAAGGGCTGGTGGGAAGGTGCAACCGATTTCCCCTGCTGGTGTGTTGCGGTGCTGGGCTTGCTATGAGCACGTGCACCATCCTTACTTCAATCGGGAAGGAAATAGGACTCAGAAAGGTTTATAAAGTTCCCCTAGTGGGGATGAAATCCACTGTCTCCATTGCAGAAGCTGTCCCTGCCTGACCCTACAATGAAAAAAATGCCATGGGACATAAGTAGCCCCAGGTAAGGGCTTAAGCAGAGGGTTGTTCAGTAGCCCTTACTTTACTTTGGCAATGACTTTTGAGCCCTGCACCGAATTTGTGTCTCATCTGCCTGACCTGCAAGCTGAGAGGCAGCTCTAACGCTTTTACCTGGTGGGGATCCCAGCAGGTTGGGATAGGACACTTCTTCTTCTGGAATTTTTGGTGCCAGCACTTGCACCACCCCATTCATCTCCAGCACCATCCGTGGCTCAGCAGAAGACGAGAATGAAAGACTTTACTGAGGTGACAGCGGGTAAAAGTCTGGTGGGATGACCCCATGGAGATGCTCCCGGTATCCTGGAATATACATTGTAATACCAAAATTAAGGATGTTTGCAAAAGCGTATGGATACCTAGAAAGGGGGAGGAAATTAAACCATTTAACATTAAACACCTCCAGGGCTTCAAAAAGGTCTCCTGTTCCCTGAACTCACACGTGCTGACTACATTAAATATCCTGATACCAGTATAGCCCCACCAGTTTTTGTACACTTTGTGAAAATGACAGTAAAATCTCATAGCAACATCCAATTTCCATATAAAATATTTCTAGAAATCTATCAGAAGGAAAAGGAGCCAAGTTCTAAAAATCTTGGTGTCTGACATCATGACTAGCATCCTAATCTCTTGGGGGGTAAATTTGCTTTGCCTCTGTGCGCTGCAGCTGTTGCCTGAATGTATACTGTATACTGTTTCTGCACTACTCTTAAAAAGCGCCAATAGGTTAACAGCAAGAGAACAGCTCATTTGGCAGAAAAATGAAGGTGTCATCACTTGTAGAAAGGCATTTTAAATATACTTAAATATTTGTTTCTTGATGAAATCCTGGGCTTGAAAAAAATCAATTTCATTAAATAACATTTTGGACAAATACTGACAGTTGCCAGACTCAGCTATAATAGTGATATGAGCAGAATTTTGAAAAAGCATACACAAACAGTTACATTATCTTGCAAATATGTATTAGTTTGTATACATACAAATTTTAAGTAACATTATATGTACGTGTGTATATATACATAAAATATATATGTATATTATCATCTCTTGTTTTATCCAGCAGTTTCTGTGAAGCTGCATGGATTCAGGCAGCACATCTAGAGTTGCTCTGAGACTATCTGGAAATGCTGAAATCAAAGTGTATAGCATCTGTGCCCTTAAAAGGGACCAATTCATGTCTTTTTAAGCTCTTGGTCAGATGCTACTTACCTTGCTGGCTAGCTCAAAATCACAGACAAACGGCCAGTGAGCTCTGATTCTGCCCTGATAAAATTACTCAACAAAAAAAGTGAAAATATTTGTGGATACCTAGAAGGGCAGTAGCCTCATCTTGACGTGTCACTTAATTTTGACTGCAAGACTTCGGATTAATTCACCTCTGGATGATCCCTGTAGCTGCTTGCCTTTACTTAATATCTGTTTAAGGCAGTTCTCGTACATCAATCAGGCAAATCTAAGGAGGAGAGAGAAATTAAAAAAAAAAAAAAAAAAAGACAGTTGAAGACAGTGAGAGTAAAAGCACCTTTGAAATTACTAAAAATATTTCTGTTAGTTGTACATGATGCTGTGCTACATAAATATGATCTTCCTTATGTTTAAACCAGTATCACCAACCATATAATAGCATTATGTTTCTGCCACCTCGATCTAAGCTGAGAAAGGTTTGTTCATGCCCATCCTCATCACCCACAGAGTCTGCAAACCTCATAGTGTGAAAGTGCCACTCCAAAAAGCCATGAGACCAGCAGCCACCCTTGTCCCTCAGAGATCTAGGTGGTGCCAAAAAAACTAACACTCCTGTGCTTATGATATCCAAACCATGCAACACTTTGCAATATAATATAAATACTTTTTACAGCACCCAGAAGCAAATAATGATTCTGTACAATCTTTGTACATTTAGGTCAAATGCTTTAAAGAAAAAGAAAAGCATAATAAGCAGTGTGGGGGGTGTTGTAAGCTGAAATATATGAGGTCCCTTAATGCTGCATGTCTCAGATTTACAGTGAAGGCGATGACACTCAGATGAACCAACAAAAGAAAGTGTATCCAGTGATCAGACTGTTTGCTTTAGCACTCGAGTCCTTTGTTGGTTTTTGGTTTTGTTTTTTTTCTAGTTCATCTCTTCTGGAATCCAGATTATTTTTTTATCACAGTGGAGAATACAGACAGGTCAGAAGGATGACCACTAAATCTACAGCAGAGTAAAACACATTCTCTGTTAACACCCAGTCTCAAGAAATATTTCTGCTAAACCTATCTGGAAAATCACTCCAGCGATATCTCAGAAAATAATTATATTTCATTATCTTTGTATGAGTAACAAGGCACAAGCCTGGTATGGGGTTTTTGCATCGTATTTTTTTTTCCTTACAGAAGACATGATCAAAAAACAAAAATTCACAATGCTTGAACAGAGCAAAAGTGAAAGAGGAGCAGGGTATTTCTTTTCATAAACCTCTAACAGTTTTAAAATACCGAACAATTCTAACCCACACTATTGAAGCTAAACACAAGAAAATGAATCCAGGAGGTTTTGTACGTTCATAACTTCATTCCTGGTGATGAAAAGGCAGATACCGGATCAGGTGCCCCCTTTCCCTGGAGGCATTTTGCTGCCTTTTGAGTAGGTATCAACAGTGATTTGCTAGTTACAGTTTCCATTCCTCTGCTTGTAAATAAGAATAACGATACTGACATCCTTCGAAAAGTACTGTGAGCCCTGTAGATGAAAATGACTGTCAAAGAGCTTGGTGCTGTTACAATTCAATAATTCTGTTGCAGCTCTACTTACAGCCCCCCACTGCGGAGCACCCTATACACATGCAAAATGAATGACATAACGGTTACAGTCAAGAACTTTGGGCTCTTGTTTCATTAGTTATTGCCTATGAAGAAACACAATAGTTTGAAACATTACAGACATTTAAAAAAAGAGCTCAGAAAAAGCCTTCATTCCTATTTTCAACTCTAACTCATGTGGAAATTGTGCATTCATCAGCTGGAGAAGCTACAGGGCCATGTAGTGTCAGTATTTATACCTGTGCTGAGAACAGAGAAGCAGAAGAAGTCTTTTTCCCAGCTAAGAAAACTGTACGGATAAAAGAGTGCAGCTTTCACTAGGCAAGGTGCATAAAGCCTGCCAAATGCGAAGAGAAACTGTCTCCAAATGGGGAACAAAGGTTTTATGATCGTATTCTATCCTCATACTTTACAAACCCAGAAAATTTCATGGGAGTAAAAGGCCTTTCTGCTGCCCTACCTATTCCTTTTGTATAAATCTGGATACAGTTCTGAGTTTTCAGAGACATTTAAGTTCCTAACTGGATATAAAGTTCTTCTTTCAGGTTCCTTTAGGTGTATGAACCCATAAAATAATTTTTGGCTGAAGTTTTCAGGATATCCTAAAGAAAACAAAACCAAACACACTGTTAAAATTAAAATGCCTTTTTTTCTTTATATTCCTGCCTCCCCTAAATATATGAACAAATTAAAAAGCCTTGATCAGATAATCTCGATGAAGTCTGTGACTACAATGGCATTTCAAACCAGTACTGAACTTGGAAACATTCTTGTCTACAATCTGCTTAGTAGACACACATATAGATGAGAAGGTGGATGGTTATTTTAACTGGGCTTGCTCTTTGGAATGTGGAATGGATCAGCCAGAGTCAGTTCTTTTAGAAAATTGAATTATTATCTAGGAAAGGGTGAACAGCAAGTTAGAAGAGATTAATGCATGAATAACAAGGAGAAAGAGTGAAGGTTTCTAGCAGATGTGAAAATATCGGGAATTTAATCTTCTAGAAACAAGAGACATTCAAAGTTTGAGTGTCAAACAGTAAGAAAATGGAACCGTGCTATTTTCATGACCAGAACTAGCAGCTATCAGTAAGCAGGAAAACGCATACAGGATGTTGAAGGATTCTGAGATGACCATGTGTATACACATGTGCTCATATGCGTGTGTGCATACATATATACACACACACACACATATATATATATATTTATATACAAAAAAAATACCTAATCATTCTATACAAAAAAAAATACCTAATCATTCCCAGCATGGAGGTGGTGGTTGTGCTGATGAACTAGAACCTTAACTTATTTAGCTTGGTTGCTGCTGTCTGTAGCTGCTCCGTTAGTTACAGTTACACAACCTCCAGCAGAGCTGGGAAGGGAGCAAGACCACGAGGAATGTTGCTACCCTGTGCCTATGTTAAGCAGGAAATGCTTTATCGCCAAGGCTGGGCCAGGGTCGTTTGGGCCAAAATGTTTTGTCTGTAGTGATTCAAATTTCATGGTGCACTTATCACACGTTTTCATTTGAGGTAAGGAACAGAACTTTTGCACAAAGACAACGGTGTTAATTAGTTTCAGAGATTTTTCACAAGCAACATACTCCATAGGTCGGATGAGGCACAGGGAACACCCAAGACAGACTGTACATCACGTTGCAAAGGCCTGTAAGTCAACTTTTTCTAATGTTCTGATTTCCTTAGTGACCACACAGTTAGGAATCTTGATTTTTGAAAATACAAAAAATTTTCAAGGATAATGATCATCCCTGAAAAATTCTAAGGGTGAAGGTTATTCCCTCCACTCTCAGAATCAACCATTGGCATGTTTATTGTTAGGTCCTCAACAAAGCAATCCATAAAATGTGAGGTGCATCTCAGAACTTGGTTTTTTTTAATGTTCTGTTGTAAATACTGTACCACCAGAATCTTAAGTAAATACTTGATTTTGATTAACAGCCGGTTCTGTTCAAAGGGGCATCATGACAGGGATGGAAAGATATACCAGAGTGGGTTACTGCTTTGCAGAGTAATGCACATTATGGTTAGGATTCCTAATAACTGCTTTCATTTAAGTTTCTGTACATTTAGAAGTTGCTGCTAGACTCATTAAATCCTAGAAATAAAGATTAGTAGACGGAAAGAAAAAGTAGTACAGGTAGAGTATTATGCTAACAGTGCAGAATTGTTCCCAAGAATGTATTTTCTAGTGTTAGGGGCAGGGGTGATTCAACCTACTTAAATGTTTCTAAGCCTGGGGCTGCTACTTCCTCCCCTGGGAGTTTATTCTAGACTCTATTAGATTTCACCATTAGAAAGCTTTTTCCGATAATGAATTTAAATAATCCTTTTTGTAAGTTTTATCTCATTAGTCCCAGTTATACCCTTTTGCATCACCCTAAATAATTCCTCTAACCATGATTTATATCCTTTGAATATTTTTAGATAGTTATCATGTTCATTGCCTTTGGTCATTTATTGGAGAAGCTGTGAATCCCACCTCCTCCCAATTCATTCCTTCAGTCTCACATTTCTTACCTTTTCATGAAATGTCATTAATACACTAACTAAACCCCCTGGTATTTCCTTTAATTAGTCATGGTCAGTTCACTGTTAAAGTGCTCTGTGTTGGTGTGTATCACTGTGTAGGCTGTCAAAGGTTAAATGATACATTTATATTGAAACATGATTTTTAAAAAATCTTTGCTGTAATCTATGGATAAGTTTTCATATAATATGAATTGGGCACTGTCTTTTATGTCAGTATGATTTAACAAAGCCAACCAATAAACCTTGGAGCCAAACAAACAATAATACAAAGTAGTTATTTGTTAAAATTTAGATTATCATCATTAATTTGAAAACAGACATTGTCATTCATGTGCCTATGTTTTTACGTGTCCCTACACCAAACAGTAACTACTGTCAATACATTCCTTTAAGACAGTATACGTTGTTTCTCCTCAAACCTCATGGGCGCACCTACTTTCTAAAACAAATACTCAAGATTTGCTAGCCATACATTAACTGCTGCAAAGAAATAGAATTGTGCCAACTATTTCTGAGTACTGCCATGCCTAACACTATATTGCAAATCTGTAATGTATTTACGGTCTCTAACTGGCATAATGACTGCATGGTTAGTTCTTAAGCGTGCCTGAAACAAACCTCTGTTCTCTAGCTCAGAAGCCTGAATACACAGGCAAACAGCAAGGGTGTACAAAGTCAGCTAGTGTCTTTTAATTGATGTATTTCCTTCTACCCCAACCTTCAGCACTTGAAAGCCAAAGCAGAACTGAAAGCCTTGTGCTCAAAAGCCCACTGCATCACTAAGACCCGAGTGAACTAATACTGTCTTCCTCAATTCCTGTGTCTAAAATGATTGATGTGAAGGAGGAGAGCAAGCACACTAGGTCCTCCAGTGCTGATTTAATGGTACTATACACTTCCTGTAGCATATCTCTGTCCCTAATAGGTGTCAGCTAGCATTGCACAAATAATATTGTAGGGAATAACAAATTGCCATCAGTAGGTTTAGGTCACATGATCAAACAAAGATGGCTGCCTTGGCATTGGCTAATACAATGGATGACAAAAGCTAGTGGAAATGCCTTTCCATTTTCTAAAAAATCTGTGTCGTTATAGCTTCCTGTTACTTCTCAGCCCACCTTTACAAAATCAGCCATTGCATAAAGAATAAGTTAGTAATTGCATGAAGAGTAACTTAAGTCTAATAGGCTAGGAGGGGAGATAATTAAGCCTTGCAAGATGAGCTTGCAACACAAAGTGAGAGAGAAAAAAAGAAGAGGAATTCCTGAGCAAGGAACTATAAAACATGACTTCTGTTGTGATGAGCAGCAGATCGGGAATCAGACGTTCACCCTGAATATTGTTGGAGTTTGGTGGACAGGTTTGTTTCTAGTTCTAATTCACCATCTAGTTAATGAAATATTTTATATGCTATTGAGAGTGTAGGATTTTGAAGAGCTGAGAAATAATCTCATCATGTTGAAGGTAAAAGCTCTGAGCTCTAATTGGCTGGGACAATTCTATTTCGTATTTCATCATAGCCTGACAGTCAAAGTGATACTTCATCTGCCTGCAAAATGTAGAACTTTTCACACATAGTTCATAATTTCCCAGATTTGCTTCCATATTGGTGCATTAGTTCCCACTGAGGAGCAGTAACTGCAGTTGGTAGCATGTACTTTGTAGCTTGAGGGTTGTTTCCTAGCAGTCCAATATCTGTGTAGTGGCTACTTCTATTGATAATAGAAAATATACCAGATAGAATTCAAATAAACATATCTTGTAGGTTGTGACCCTTTAAGCGTGTCTCAAAACAACAGACTCTTCAGTCTAGGAGAGATACTCATTATATAAAATATCTTCAGGTATATGTGAAACAATCATAAACCACATCTTGAAATGTCCTGCTGAAGATGCTAAATGCATTTATGAAAGTGTAAATCTATACAATTTATGCAGAATGATGAATTAAATTACTATATGCAATTAAAATGGTGAATATGAAATGAAAATGATTTTTGAACACAGATACAAATCTGCTGTGATGTTTTGGTTTTTTTTTTCTAAAAATCCAAAGCTTTCCTTTATGAAAACGTGCAGCAAATTTTGACACAGAGTAAAGTACATGAAATCTAACTTCACATATCTTGGGGATAAGTTGTACAAAACCCCTTCCATGGCACAGTGGTATTCATGAAAGCCATGTCAATTTGCACAGTCATTTATGAATTCAAGACCATTAATATCCATATGTTTTCCACATGACTGATTAGATGTATAATGGAAATAGATCTGTTATTTTAAAACTTGGCCTGAACATGTATAAAACCAGGTTCATTTTTGTGATCACTATGGCACTTTCTGTGAAGTGGCCAATAAATATAATTTTAGAATTTCACATAAAAGGCAATGTTCCGTAATCTTTATTTCACCAATTACTGGGATGTTCTCATTTCCTGAACAATAACCCTTAAACACTAACACCTCTGGTGGCAAAGGTTAAACCTGGTCTATATCCGTCAGCTCTTTTGCTAATTCCTAGGGAGGAACATGCCATGAGTCAAAAGACTCTGTACAGTTTTAAAACATCTACATAACTTTTCATCCTTCTGCTGAGAATACAGAAAGGGAAGCAAGGGAAAGGGAACCTTTTGAAGAGTTGTTGGTATCTACATTTAATAGCCGTATATTTTCACATTTCATTTTGGTCTGATAAAAGATTGAAGAGAAAGATGATTATACCCTATATTACACACATAAACTGTGAAATAGTACAAAGGGAAAAACATAATTTTGATTTATCTGCCTATGAATTACATTTGCACATGTGATATATGTGATCTCATCACATATAGGAATACACCTGACTTTTTGCCTTCTGCTCCCCTCCTTGCTAGCTCCTCAGACTCAATCTAGTTCTTTAACGAGCTGTTACACTGATTGCATAAGGTATGATTTACAAGTCACAATACAATAAAACCTCAACATATACATTTCATTAGCCACACTTAGTTACATACTCAACATCGGCTGTCTAAGAGGTAAGTCAGCCGTTTCAGATTTTCAAAAGGATCCAACTACCACTTCAGAAATCTCAGTGAAAGGCAAAGTCCTAATCTGAACTCCTAAATCACTGTTTCCAATCCTTACAGGGTTGCGCTGAACAGAGCAAGGGCTAAAAGCAACACAGACTTGGCACTCCTGCCTTCAGTGGTGCAGCATCCTATGGCTGGTTGGACTTTTGGAAAATCTCACAGGGAAGATGTTGCCTATATCCTACCCACAAGGGACAGTGAGCCTAATCCTGTTTTGTCATGGGTACACAGTAGCATTACACTTTTACAGATCTCAAGCAGAAGTCCCTGTTTCCTGCATGTCACATCCAGACAGTGGAGCCAATTGCTACTGCCTTAGCAATCCTTTCAAATTCATTAGCCAGCCTTGGTGTAGCTCAGCAGCAATCAGGGGCCGAATACCACACAATTTAGATATGTAGAACTGGAAGGGACCTTATGAAGCATCTTCTGTTCTGGCTGCTTAGTACAAGATTAACCCCATCCATCACACTCCTGGCAGATGGCTTTCTCACCAATTCTAGAAGATCTAGATTGGAAATGATGATTTTTATTAACAAATTCAAACAAGAAGAGTTTGACATTCTTCTGCAAGACTAAAATTACACAATACCTGAACAACAAATGACAAAGATTTTCCTGTTACAGATAGCCTGTAAGGCCCCTAAGAGGCTGTTAAAATAAAACAACAAAAAGCCAAACCTGTGTCCCCCCACCCCCATGCAAAGAACCAGTAAATACTTTTCTACAAATGCTATTTAATATACAGTGGATAAAATATATACTTTAAAAATAGCTTTGCTTGTGCAATTAAGATATACATCAAAAATGTCTGTATATATGAAGGTCAAGTATATGTAACATATCACAAAACATTATCATACTTATCTATAAATATGTGCAATAGCCTAAAGGACCTCTTACTAAGCATGAGCTTTTTCCAAGACAAAATATATGACTCATTCAGAGCAAATTAAACATATGACAGATATTCATTTTTAGCATCTTACTGACCCGTTATTTAGACTGCATAGCAAAATTCATTCTATACATAAGAGAATATATATAGTGATTGTTTTCAGTTTTGAAGATTGACCTTAAATAGCCTATAAAATAACTTACACTTTGTCTTCTTGTGCTTGTGTAAAGGTTTTGAGTTTAGAAAGGAACACAGCTGTATTATTACAAACTTTAAGTTAAATGCAGTCACCACATTGGCCTAAGAGGGTTTGTAAGATAGTTTTTCCTGGTTTAGAAAAACCAAAAATCTAATCTCTAAACCTCATTTTTATTCCATCCTGTCTGAAACATCTGTTAGCAATCTGCCTTTGCCAACCAGCAGGAGCCTTGCAAACAGGTGTGCACAGTCAGCCTACCTCACGCTACAGACATATCCTATAGGAATGCCATCAACAGGGTGGAGGGAGCAGCTGATGCACTGGAGGGCTAATTCAGGGGGACCTCACCAGGCTGGAGAAATGGGCTGACAAAACCTTATCAATGGCAACTGTGAAAGCTCTACTCCTGGGATGGAATCACACCCTGCAACAGTGCAGGTTGGGGGATGAGGTGGTAAAAAGCAGCTTTTTGGAATAAAACTTGGGGGATGGCAGCTGGACAAGGTGTACACGAGTCAGCGTTGTACCCGTTTGTTGGTGAACACTTATCCTCATACTGGCTGCACCAGTAAGAGCACACTAATGGGTCAAGGGAAGTGCTAGTGTGTTTAGCATTAGCTAGTATTCAAAATTTTGTGTCCCATTTTAGGTTCCCCAGTAGAAGACACTGACAAATTGGGTAATCCAGTGGAGGGCCACCAGGATTGTAAGAGATCTGGAGTACAAAACACATTAAGAGAAGCTAAGAGCTGAATATGCTTAGCCTGGAGGAAACTGAGGAAGGATCTAATTGCTGTTCTCAGCTACCTAATGGTCAAGCTTTTCTTAGAGACAAAATTGAAAAGACAAGAGGCAACTGAAAGTCACAGCAAGGGAAATCGTGATTAAATGGAAATTCACAATGGTGATGGTCAAACACTGGAACAGAATGGTTGGGGAACCTCCATCTGCAAAGACAGTCAAAATTTAACAAGTTGAGACCCTGCCCTGACTTTGAAGTTGGGTCTAACTTTGAAGTTGGCTCTGCTTTGAGGTGGGGAGCTGGTAGGGATTGGACCAGATGACCTCTAGAGGTCACTCCCAACCTAATTTACTCTGATTCTGTGCTGTAATAGCTTACAAGGGTTATTGTGGTTATGTTTATTGACTAAATGTCTCATTCTTTTATTTTAAGCAGTATTGCCCCATGCTTTTTGAGATCTACTGGTCAATGATTTCATTTTCACTGCTTACAGCCTACAGGAGGAGTGAGTTTTACAGCAATCAAGGCTTCATAAATCCCTCATACTATCACATAAACTTGACTTCGGTATAAAGTTCCACTTCCTCTTTACCTAAGGAGAGCCAAGAAGATGTACTTAAATAATCTTTCCTCCACTCCTGAAAGGTTATTCCCTTTAGTGTAACATGTGATTAAATATGGCTGTTTTCACTTTTTAATAATAAAGCTTCCTGAGGGTCTGAAGTATTACTTAGGAGTAGCTGTGCTGACTGAACCACCCAAGCAAGGCTGGGTCCATCATCACTTTGCAGAGCTCCAAGGCCTGTTTTCTTAATAAAAAAAAAAAAAAAAAAAAAAAAAAAAAAAGGTTTTTAAACCTAATTATCCTTCCCTCCTTAGAGATCAATTCCTGCTTTTCTTTCCTTTCCTCTCCTCTCCTCTCATCCTTTAGTGCAATCCAGGCTTATACTTTTTTTCTATGTCATTAGTTAAAAGAAAAAATAAAAGAGGAAAGAAAGAAAATTGTATCACACATTAGTCCCAACCTGAGTAAACGTCAGCTCCTGGCACTTTCTCTTAATACAAGATACAGGTCTACTAAGCAATGACCTGAAAAGACATGCAAGTTGCTGCAGGTTTTGACAATGCATTTTGTTTCTAGCAAATTAAAGGGCTGTAACACCTAACAATAATTCAGGACGGGCTTTTCAGAAGTCCTGAGACTAAACGTAATGAATCACAATGAAATCGCAGTGATTCAAAGCAGCAAAACAAAATGAGTTATGGGTGGTCTAGAAAAAGAACCTAAAATTTTCCACCCTATAGTTTTCCTCCCTTTGTGACTATTTGTAAACAAATATTAGAAAGCATTGTCTGCTAATAACTAAGACATAATGTTGTCGCAGATTTCTTTTAGAGATTTCTTGAAAAGCTTCTGAAAAATCAGCAGAAGTATGAGCTAGTGTATCTTTATAGTTTCTATATATCTCTCTCCAAAGAATTATTTCTTATATATCAGACAATAATTTTTATTTCTAATTTTAAGAATAATTTCTATTAATAATTTCATCCTGTTCATAATTCCAAACCTTTGTTGCCTTTGCAGGTTCTCTAGCAACCTCCATGATCTTATTTCCTGGGTTTAGAAAACTTCAACAAATCATAGTGGTTCAGTCTGTCTAAAAAAATATCTCAAGTAGTGAAACACTATGCTAAATCTTCCCCAATTTAGGAGGCTGAAAAAGAGATGCACAAAACTTCAGCATTTTTTTTCGTAGTTCCACACAAGATACACCAGGAAGAAAAATTGGAAGTTACAAGTGAACTGATACAAATGGCCTTTTCATTTATTTACAAATTACTGCTTGTACTATGACAATGTCTAAATATTGGTCCTCTACCACACAGAAAACATGAAACTAGAAGCTGGTCCTAGTCCTGAGATCAAGTGCAAGGTAAGACAGTAACAGGTATTATAGTAAGTAACAGAAACTAGCATTTAGCTCTTATGTGACATATGTTGATGGATCACGTATAGGCAAGCGTTCATAGATCTCAATGCTTTTTGAAAGTTGTAGTTGTTCAAATGCTATACTATCACACAAATGAGATGTAAGCAGGAACAGATTTAGGACCAACATATTTTTATCTATCTTCCTGTCATGATGCAGACTATTCTGCAGAGTAGAGCAGCCAACGAAAGACTTGCTGGTCTAGAGGTTGTGATTTACAGCTATCCCAGTTTGACTACAACAAATTCGCTGAATGTAGACTAGCCTCAGAATCTAGAGTCTTCGAAGTTTTCTGTCTTCTACCACATACACTCACTGGCACAGCCTTACTAAATCAATGGCCAAATATTTTCTCCTAGCTTCAACAACGCTACCTGACCAGATCAGCAGTGCTCACAGTCTTTCTGCCTCTTCTCTCACTTTCCCCAAGCATGAAGTTACAAGTCTGATGTTTTTCATCAAATTGGACAGGCTAGTAAA